AGGATCTAGGAAGATGCCTTATGTGCCTGCTATATGTGCTTATTGAACTACATGCTAGAACTGATTAGTCAGTGATATGATGGCCTGAATAGGATATGCTTGATTTGGTTACTCAATACCCGAATGCTGCTTGCTTTGTGCTTTTAGGGGTTCTAGTTATCTTTAAATAATTAGTAAACAAATACGTTAAGTTATATATTACGAGGACTAAATAATTTTAGAAGGTTAGGTATAGCCCTATTTCGCAGCTCTTGTCTGAGTCCAACCATTGTATGGTAGGACCTCTCATTTGAAGAATTATCTGATCTTAGTGATATGTAATGGTATTCGCGAGCTAGTTAGGTAAAGGTAGTAGGGATTTCTTATGTAGCTGATGGCAGAGAGTAGGTCGGAGAGTTACCTTGGGGTAAGACTAGGATGAGATTAGTGCAGCAAGTAGTAGTAGTTAAAGGGACTTGGTGAAGTCAAGACAATCCTTGAGGAAAGTACGGATAGATGTGGAAGGTAGTATGGGCCCGTACTACTGAAAGCAGAGGATCCGTACTCGAGTCATGGAGGGCTGAGATAGAACCAGGGAACTTGTAGAGCATGTGAGACCTCTCGAGATTATATATGACCCTGACGATTATGTGTTTTGTTTCAGAATGGTGGTGACACGTCAAGGAGCATGAGGTTCAGGGTCTGGGTCAGGTTCATGCTCAGGTTCGGGTGCAGGTTCTGAGCCGGTTGATGACGGATTATGCGAGTTCATCGCGTCTGATATTATGAAAGGCACTCTCCTTCAAGGACTTCAGGGGATGTGGTGCGCCAGACTTTCACGGGGTGAAGGACCCCATTGTGGCCAGGAGATGGATTGTAGACATCGAGTCCGCACAGTTGACGAGCTTCTGCCCTGAAGAGTCGAAGGTCCGGTATGCTGCGGGTTGTTTGAGAGACAGAGCTAGAGACTGGTGGGAGGCAGTCAGTGATTCGTTGGGGGCCCCAACCATTGAGGCTATGACCTGGTCGGACTTTGTGACCAGGTTTAGGGCTGAGTTTGCGTCGATTGTGGAGCGTCAGCAGTTGGCTAGGGAGTTTCGGGATATGAGGCAGATGACTAAGTCGGTGGCGGAGATTATCGCCCAGTTCAGGGAGAGCGCCTTACTGGTGCCTCAGTATGCAGGGGATGAGGAAGACCCGGTACCACAACATGTTGAGGGTTGACATACGGAAACATGTCAGCTACTCGGAATGCCCGACCTTGGATGACATGATAGCCAAGGCGAGGGAGAGGGAGATTGACATAGAGCACCTCAGGAGGAGGAAGGTGGAGACGGGGCAGAAGACTGGGGTTTCTGGGAAGAAACCCAAGGGATTCGACTCGATGTCGAAGCGCCAGCAGGGCCGGAGCCGCTGTGGGAAATAGGGAAGGTCACATGAGCGAGTGTGCAGGGCTGGGGGATTGGGCTGCTACAAGTGCGACAAGACTGGGCACTTTAGCAAGGATTGTACAACCCATACCCCCACTATTCAGACATCGGACCTGATTTGCTTTCATTGCAATCAGAGGGGCCATAAAAAGGCCAATTGCCCTAGACTGACATCAGGAGCGCCAGTGGCGGCGCCATTTCCAGCGACCCTACAGATCACGGATGGCCGACAGGGCAATACAGAGGCTCCATTAGTGAGGAGCCGAGCTTTCCAGCTGACCACCGAGGAGGCGCGTGCGGTACCGGATGTGGTGATGGATATGTTTTCTTCTCCCTAACTCTTATTACATGTCAGTTATGATATTTATGTTCTATGTTTATGTGTTTTGTTTAGGATCGTTCAATGTGAACGGCATCCCAGTACATGTGTTATTTAACTCGGGAGCTACCCGATCATTTGTCTCTCTTACACTTAGCAAAAGGTTTTCTGAGTCTTCGGACATGTTGGATTGTCCTTTAGAGGTCGAGATTGCTGACGACCGATCCGTCCGGGCATCGGAGGTTTACAGGGATTGTGTTTTGAGGATGTACGACGAGCGTTACCTCGTGGATTTGGTTCTCATTCCGTTACGTGGGAACAAGGTCATCATCGGCATGGATCGGCTGAGCCATAAGGAGGCGGTGATCGTAGGGGTGTGAAAAAAAAAACCGAAAAACCGAGCCGAACCGGCCGATCCGAAATCGAAAAAAACCGAAACCGAAAAAATTGGATATCAACGGGTCGGTTTTGGTTTGGATACTTAGGTATCCGTGGATAAACAAACCGAACCACTTGATATATATATATATATATATATATATATATATATATATATATATATATATATATATATATATATATATATATATATATATATATATATATATACACACCAGTATGATGTACGCAATCGCGCGGCAACATATAGTTTTTTTTTTGGCATTTGATTTCATTTCAACGAATAATATCAAACGGGACGATAAATTTTCTTTTATGAATAATTTCGTTTTAGCGCAGGGTCAGGAAGGGGGCAACAAATATGCACCAATGTTTTGGGTTATTGTGGTGGGTTATAAATATAATTTTTTTAATTTTCAGAAAAATTTAAATATTATCTTATTTTTTTTAGAAGGTTCTTTGTAATTTATTTTTTATGATTTAAATGACAACGCCAAAATTATAATATAGCACTACTTTAAGCAAGTAATTTTTTTTTCAAGAAATTTTCATTTTTAAGAACGATATATGTTGATATTTTCTTTTTTTTAAAAACCTTTTATCTTTTATTTTTCTTTTAAATATCAAAAACGAACAATGTAAATGACAAAATTGAATTACATTTTCTAATAGAAATATTATTACAGTTATAATATTTTCTAAAGTTATAAATTAACATTGTAGATGATAAAAATTAAATCTTTTCTTATAATAACTATTATTACAGTTTAATCAATACTAAAAATAATGAAGTGGTCATGATATTTTAATTCATATATAGGTTAATTCATATATAGGGATTAAACTTGTCATCATCTTTTTAATGGCGGTTACACATTCAAGTTCAACTTATTAAAAGTTATATATTTATACTACAATAACATTTAAAATAGTTTGTTTGTGAAATTTGATATAAACATTAGGTTTATTAAGTTTATTTGTTAAATGTAAACAAAAATAATAATAAACTAGAAAGGTTACCTCCTCTACGCGGGGCCACAAGCTTTCAATGTTGTTTTCGAATTGATAAATATGACAGACATAGAAAGTGCAAGGATGAAAAATCCGGGCTTTGCCCCGAACAAAAAATGTAAAAGTTTTGACTGCAAGGACCAGAAGTGTGAAAATGGCTAAAGAATTAAAGGGGTAGGAATTAACAACTTTTTAGAAAAAGGATCAAAGTTGTCAAACCGTTAAAGTTTTGTGGCCAAACTTTAAATATTAAAAGGTTCCAAAAAAAGTGTAAAAATATTGATTGCAATGACCAAAAGTGTCAAAATGGGTAAAGAATAATAACCAAAGTTGCCAAAAACATCCAAATTTAGTATTTTTAACTTCCAACAATAATACATGGACCAATTCTGCCAAAAAAATAAGAAGTTGAATGGAACACAAACAAAAAGACATAAATAAATTAATTAAAGAAGTACAGGGACCGGATATGTAAATCAAGGGACCAAACTTGGACAAAATATCTCAAGTTTACTATTCTTTTCTTCTACAACTTTAATATATATATAATAATGTCTATAATTACAAAAGTATGTTATGTCAAAATAATAATAAATGTGTACAATTACAAATTGCGTTCTGAACAATAAGTTTATTAAGTTTATTTATTGTATTTAGATATCTGGCCTCTTGTAACCTTTATTTATATAGTCTTTGTTTTTTTTTTAATTTGTTTATATATATATATATATATATATATATATATATAATTTAATTAATTTAATCATTTTAGTTACTTATTAGCATTAGTTTTATATTAAAAAATTAAGCATTGGAAGATGTTTATATGATTTAAAAATGACTTTTTTTTTAAATTATTTTTTAGTTTATATATTATGAACATAAGTTATCATTTTGATCATTAATTATCATATTTGTATATTTAGAAACTAATAATTAAATTGTATTTCTAAAATATGTAACACGAATCACATTCATCATATATCTCTTATTAATTATAACATTCACGTCATATTGTCAATAAACAAAAATTATTATATATTTAAAAAGGTGAAATAAAAACAAAACCAATTAAAAGGAATTTATAAGTGCGTGACTTTTATTATTTTAAACAATATATAATAATTACATTTATTAAATTTATTTATATTTTTCCATAAAACTATGATATTAAGTTGATAGAAACAATAATATTTATTACGTTCATTTGTTTATTTCTATTTTACTAATATTCAAATTAACGTTTTACACACCATTATAATAATATACTATAGTTCCAAGTTCCAACCCTATATGTGATGAGACATGACCTTGACCACTTTCAAAAAGAAGTGACAGCTATAATACTTTTTTGTTAGAATTACTTAAGAACCAATTAACGCTTTAGAGAGAGATTATTCAAGGATATTAAAATCTATATATTCTTTCAACCCAATCAAGTTTTTTTTAACTCCTTTTAACAATCAAATGCTTTTATATGTTTAAACCATCTTATGAGGACTTTATATAGCAAACAAATATATATCTATGATTTCCAATTTGGCTATATAACATCTCCCTAAACAAAATAAATAAATAAAATTCATGAAAAGATGTAATATGCTTTTACAGGAAAAATAATAAAGTAATGTGGATTTAACTCTCTGTTAAACCAACATTTTTCCGCTTTTGCTTTGTCGCATGCCAATAAACATAGAGATTAGAAGAAATTTAATTCTAATTGTTTTAGTATATGTTTCTAAACAAATGACTTATTTTTAGTGGTTGTAACTGGTCTTAAACCTATTTTCTACAACCAAATGAGTTTTCCATGTCAAAGTTATTGTGACTAACAGCAGAGTTAATTAATAATCTTTTTATTTCTTCGTAAAAGTAATATTAATTTAACTTTCAAGGATAAACCTATACTTTTCCATTTTTGCTTTGTCGCATGGCAATAAACATAGACAAACCCAGATGTATCTCCATGGTTTTCGACTCATGGACCTAACACGTATCAGCCTTCCTACACTCCATATTTTGAAATCTCCAACCTTGATAAAAAAAACATACACGAATCAGTAAAAAACAATGATTCAACATACTTACACGTGGGTTCTCTATTGCTTTTTATATATAGATATGAAACACTGTGTACGAAAATAAAAAATCAAAAACAAAACATGGGTTCTCTATTGCTTTTTATATATAGATCAAAAGCAAAAAATAAAAAACTTTCGTGAGTTTTGTATGTATACATGTGAGGCAAACGGTAGTGCACCGATGAATATAGAAGGGCTTAAAAAGAGACGGAGATGTGCATCTGTGAAGTAGAAGTGGTGGTAGCCGTCCGAAACAACGATTAATGGTGGTTGTGAACAGTGATGGCGGTAGCCATGGAAAACCATGTTAAAAGTGGGAGCATTTTTGGCAAGTGGGTGATGGTAAGTTGTAGAAGCTTGATATCGTGGTGCTGGTGGTGTCGGTGATAACCGGCGCTCGGAATGGTAGTGGCAATGAAAGGAATTAGGGTTCTAGAGTTTGTAAAGAGTTTATTAGTGTTAAAAAAGTTGAGAGCATATATTTATATGTTAATTTTTTTAATGTGGCTTTTTTCTTATTGGCTTATTTTCTTTTACATGGATTACCACCATGTATTAAATCTAGCCATTCAAATTTAATTTAATGGATATGATTTTCTCTCATTCTTTTAACCATTCTTTTAACGCTTTGTCTTAAAATTTTGTGGGTCCTAATTCATATATGTATTATAAATTAGATGTGAGACCAGTGTATTACACGAGTTTATTAAAAATAAAAATTTAATATCAATATATAAATATGAAATATTTTATAATGTAATACTTTACATAACAGAATGTAACCTTCTGAAAATTTGCAAAAGAAATTAAATCATTTGAAGTATTTATGAGAATTTATTACCAAATTAATAGGATGATTTTATTTCCTTATAAAACCCATTATAATTTTATGAAATTTTATTTTAAGAAAATGGAAATCCCTAAAAAATGACAAGTGGAAAATAAAATTTCTAAAATTCTCACAAAATGACAAGTGTCAAAATGAAAGAGAAAATGACATTTGGCAAAAAAACCTTCATTTATTAAAGAGGGGTAGTGTATATATATATATATATATATATATATATATATATATATATATATATATATATATATATTACCCATTTCTACTAAACTGTTAGCAATATCCCAAACAAAAATCATGATTGACGCTCCTAGTTTTGCACTTCTACATTATGTTTTCTTGTATTTGTATTTTTATATTTATTATACCAATTATAATGTATGTTATTTGAGCTTCATTATGTCTTTTTAACTTTTAGACTTACTAATTTTCAGAAAGAAATCGTTGGAATGGAGTTTATAGTTTTTATTGTATTTGACTTTTTATATTTAGCGGGTACCTGTGAACCGAACCGTGGTTACCCGCTTTTATACGGTTCGGTTCGGTTTCGGTTAGTGCACATGAGGTACTCGCCCCGTATGACGATTCACAATTTTATAACTATTCGAACCGAACTGCCCCGTTAACACCCCTAGGCGATCGGTTGTGCGCAGTATTTGGTACGTGTCAGGACCCCAAGTGAGGGAGAGTTGGTGATTCAGGGCGAGAGGTCGCAACGTGGACCAGCTTTTGTGCTCAGCAGCGAGGGCTAGGCGCTACCTTCAGCAGGGTTGCGCAGGGTATGTCGCCTACGTTATGGATGCTCGGGAGGCGGGTAAGGCAACCATGAGTAATGTGCCAGTGGTGCGAGAGTACCCAAACGTATTTCCATATGAGTTGCCTGGGATACCTCCGGAGAGATAGGTGGAGACCAGGATCGACCTAGTCCCTGGTGCGGCTCCGATAGCCAAGGCACCATATCGGTTGGCTCCTCCTGAGATGCAGGAGTTGTCTACCCAGCTGCAGGAGTTGTTAGACAAGGGATTCACTAGGCCGGGCAGTTCACCTTGGGTAGCCCCGATCTTGTTTGTGAAGAAGAAGGATGGGTCGCATCGGATGTGTATAGATTACTAGGAACTGAACAAGGTAACGGTGAAGAACCGTTACCCACTCCCGAGGATTGATGATCTCTTCCACCAGCTGTAGGGGCATCTTGGTTCTCCAAGATAGATTTGCGTTCAGGCTACCACCAGATGCGAGTTAGAGATGAGGATGTACAGAAGACTGCTTTCCGGACTCGCTATGGCCACTACGAGTTCGTGGTGATGCCCTTTGGGCTCACCAATGCCCCTGCCGCGTTCATGGACCTCATGAACCGCGTATGCAGACCGATGTTGGATCGGTCTGTGATAGTCTTTATTGATGACATCTTGGTTTAATCTAAGATGTAGGAGCAGCACGAGGAGCACTTGCAAGAGGTGTTGCATACCCTGAGGAGGGAGAGCTTGTACGCCAAGTTCTTCAAGTGTGAGTTCTGGTTGCGCGGGGTGCAGTTTCTGGGGCACCTTGTCAACCAGAACGGTATTTTGGTCGACCCGGCCAATGTGGAGGCCGTGATGAGATGGGAGGTTCTGAAGTGTCCATCTGAGATTCGGAGTTTCCTCGGTTTAGCAGGCTATTACCGGAGATTCATACAAGACTTCTCCAAGATAGTAGTACCCTTGACCCGACTGATGAAGAAGGCTGTTGTATTTCGTTGGGGGCCTGAACAGCAGGCAGTGTTTGAGACATTGAGGCAGAGGTTGTGCGAGGAACCGATCTTGGCCCTGCCAGAGGGCATTGAGGATTTTGTAGTATACTGCAATGCGTCAATTTCGGGTTTGGTCACAGTGTTGATGCAGAGAGGGCACGTCATCACCTACGCCTTGAGGCAGTTGAAGCCTCATGAGGCAAACTACTCGACGCACGACCCGGAGTTGCGGGTGGTTGTTTTCTCCCTCAAGATTTGGCGACACTACCTCTATGGGGTCCGATGTACCATTTACACGGACCACAAGAGCTTGAGGTGCCTCATGGATCAGCCGAATCTAAACATGAGGCAATGTCAGTAGTTTGATGTGGTGAAGGACTACGACTGTGAGATCCTCTACCACCCAGGGAAGGTCAATGTTGTGGCTGATGCCCTTAGCCGCAAGGCATTCGCGGCCCCGATCAGAGAAATCTGTCTGAGGATGATAGTAGTGACTCCACTTCTAGAGAAGATCCGGGAAGCCCAACAGGAGGGTATGAAGGAGGAACAACGGAAGAGTGATCGTATAGTGGGTCAAGTTTCCTCCTTCGACTATGATAGTCGCGGGTTGTTAACACTTCACTGCAGAGTGTGGGTTCCGTACGCAGGCGGTGTGCGCCAGATCCTGATGGAGGAGGCGCACAAGTCTAGATTTTCCATCCATCCTGGGGAAACGAAGATGTACAAAGATCTTCGTCCTGATTACTAGTGACCCTGCATGAAGCGGGATGTAGCCTGATACGTTGAGAGATGCCTGACCTGCACGAAGGTTAAGGCAAAGCACCAGAGGCCTCACGGCAAGACGCAACCGTTAGATATCCTTGTGTGGAAGTGGGAGGACATTACTATGGATTTCATCACGAAGCTTCCCAGGACCACACGGGGAGTGGATTCGATTTGGTTCATCGTGGATCGGTTGCCCAAGAGTGCCCATTTCATTCTGATCCAGGAGAGCATCTCGGCCGAGAAGTTGGCCGAAATCTACATCAGGGAGGTAGTAGCTCGGCACGGGGTGCTAGTTTCAGTGAGTTTAGACCGAGATGTGCGGTTCACTTCCAGATTCCGGAAGAAATTTCATGACGAGTTGGGTACTCGTCTGCATTTTAGTACGGCTTTTCACCCCCAGACAGATGGTCAGAGTGAGTGGACCATCCAGACCTTGGAGGACATGTTGTCGGCGTGCGCATTAGACTTCGGTGGTAGCTGGGATACCTACCTTCCCTTGGCAGAATTTTCCTACAATAATAGCTACCACGCGAGTATCGACCATCATCACGTCGAGATGTTATATGGGAGGAAGTGCAGAACCCCGATGTGATGGGGTGAGGTTGGGCGGAGGGTCATAGGGAGTACCGAAGTGGTACTCAAGACGACATAGAGGATCTAGCAGGTCCGGAGCAGGCTTCAGACTGCTCAGAGTCGGCAGAAAAGTTATGCCGACAAGCGCTGTTCAGACCTGGAGTTTCAGGTAGGAGATATGGTTCTCCTGAAGGTGTCACCTTGGAAAGGTATCATCCAGTTCAGGAAGCTGGGCAAGTTGGGCCCCAAGTACATTGGTCCTTTTAGGGTTATAGCTCGGGGTGGGCAAGGTAGCGTATAGGTTGGATCTGCCATCCGATCTTAGTCAGATCCATAACACCTGTCATGTCTCCCAACTGCGGAAGTGCTTGGTAGATTACTCTGCGGTGGTCCCTCTAGAGGATATTCAGGTAGACGACAGCCTGACCTACATCAAGCGGCTGGTAGCCATCATCGACCAAAGACGAAGGATTTGAGGAACAAGAGGGTCGAGTTAGTGAAGGTGCAATGGCAGCACCGCAAGGGCTCGGAATGGACTTGGGAGTCGGAGGACGAGATGAGGGAGCATTACCCAAAGCTATTCCCAGACGCAGCAGACTTCGAGGACGAAGTCTAAAATAAGTGGGGGAGATTTGTAACGCCCGGATCCTGGTATGTATTTTAAATAAAATCATTCATTTTTTCAAAGGGACTCGACGAGTTGGAGGCCCTAAAGTCATCGAGTAGGAATGGATTTTGGACTCGACGACTTGAAGTCTACTCGACGAATTGAGAGCCTCAACTGGACGAGTAGGGCAGCCAGAGTGAAAACCTAATTTTCAGGGTTTTCCACCCTATTTAAGCACCTTAACCTCCAAAGGGTGGCCTCATTTGCAGCCTCCATCACCCCAAACCCTAGCCACGAAACCCTAATCCACCTTTGAGTATTTTTGACCCATTGTTGTGTGTTCTTGGTGATTTTGAAGCTTGAGAAGGAAGGAGAAGCTTGAGGATTCAAGAGGAAGCCAGTAGATCCGGAAGTTGAGCTGCATTTCTAACTCATTTGAGGTATAAAGTTGATACCTTGGCTTTCCATTGCTTAGATCTTCATTTAGGGTTGTATTTTGTTACTTTTGGGCCATATTGAAGTCATTTTCGGGATTTGAGTGCATCATGAGGTTTTGACTTCAGATTTAGGCACTCATGAGCTTATGAGGCTTAAAGTTGCCACCTTTATCAAGCCTTGGCCCTTCCCCATGACCTAGATCTCTTATATAACTTAGTTTTGGTGTTTCTAGCTTCATGACACCATGCATGGACGTAAAGTTAGCAACTTTACGTGGTAACTTAGTCCTAGTGGACCAGATTTATGGTTTGGAAGAATTGAACCTGACTAGAAATGACTGAATGGGTTTAGACTATGGGGGACTCGATGAGTTGTTCATATAACTCGGCGAGTTGGGTCGTGGTTCCCCAACCTTTTCTGTTACTGGGCAAACTCGTCAAGTCTAGGAGACGACTCAGCGAGTTGGACATGGTTTTGGGTTTTAAA